TCATTATGATGGTTTTAGAATCGTATTGAATAATAACGTTTCTATCTTAATTAAATTATTGAGTGTGATTGGAGTTTTCATTTGCTTTTTAAAAATATTTAAGATTTATTTTGAATACAATTATTAATTAATTTTATTACATTCATTCCCTTTGTTGTGCTTTTGTCGAAAGCGTATCAAAAAAACTTACTCACGGGATGTAACAACGTTAGCGTCAACACAGTAAAAACATGCATAAGAGGTGGAAATTTCTAATGCGAAGGTAGCCAAGAATAATAAGAAATAAGTAGTTGAAATGATGGAAAATTCATGTATACAGAGTGAAGCAAATCAAGCCATTTTTTCAGTCGCCACAAGCTGTAGAAGTGGTGGTAAGAGCGAAGAAGTAACGTCCAGAGTATCATCACCACTGAAAAGAACAGAGTGTCCCAGATCAGGTAACGGTGGTTGATTCACTCTTTGTACAGGTTTACAACACCTCTATCAGTCTGATTCTTGATATCCCGTCAAAGAATGATCCTTGTTGCCAGGAGGCAAGGAATTAGTTAGCAGTCTTGGTTTCTTCGGCGCACAACCTCCTTGTTCTTCGAGGGACTTCAATTTATTCCTTATCGCTGCGATCTTGGCATTCCGATTCATTTGCCCTAGCGTGCTGCTGCGTGCATCATTGGCTTTTGTTTCAGCACAGGCAAACTTTGATTCCATGTCTCCCAGATGCTTCTCACTGGCCAAACGAACGACCAGAGGGCGTCCAGAAACAAATCTACCATTCATCTTTGTTTTTGCCAATAGAGCTTCCTGAATGCTCACTTCAAAAAACAACAATAAGACTATCGCAACTAGGTTTTAGATGATGTTACGTGACTTTGTTGCTTACCTCTTTCGCGCTATACTGGATAAAGGCGTAGCCACGTGGTTCCCCACGTTTAGGACCACGGGTGTGCCACAGAAAATCTTCAGATATAATCTTCCCAAAAGGGGAAAACATCTTGATCACATTGGACCTAATTCAGATTACAGTAAGCAATGTATCACAAGGAAGAGGCCGTAAGAAGGAATAACGTTGATTAGTTCTTACTCAGGAACCCTTTGATCAATATTGCCAACATATATCTTGCTTTCACACGTTTCATCGGTCATACCCCCACCGTCCTGCATTGTGAAGTTGAAGCCGTGATGTAAGATTGTCATGCACTAGTAAATGGTTAGGAGACAAATTTCCAGCAGCAACCAACATTCTTGTCAAATGGAAATTGTATCTGTTTGATAGTCTTAATGATGGAAAAGTTCTTGCAGCAAAGAGAAACACAAAGGCATGGACAAACACATAAAAAGTCAGATGCACACATAAAAAATTCTTACGATGAAATATGAAGTGTTCAAACTTAACAGATAAAATGGAAGCCTCATATCCAGCACATCAAATTGTGACAATTTCATTGAAATAAAGCATAACATCAAATTCATCATCAAAAGCTTAGATCTATATAGGTGAAGTCTGCTGATCGGGACTCCTCATTGGCAGATGGTAATCCTCTATTGGAAAATTTCAAGATTGTGTAATTCAATATCTAATAGTCAAATGGATAGTACAAATTTAATTCAACAATAAATTCTAGACTCAACATCAGAATCCCCGATGGTGCCTTACCGATGGAACTAGCTCATCTGAAGATTTTCAAAGATTAAAAACTTTTTTGACAGCAGTCTTCAATTTAGGTGAAATAATGTGAAAGATAAGATAGATCTCATCACTTATCCAATAATAATCAGTTCCATAGGATGCATCACATCAAAATTTTCATTCGGTACAGAAAAATTCAGAGTGCTAAAGAGGGTTGAAAGATTGCAATTTGTTTTTCTAATCCTTCTATACAGTTTTCTCATCGTAGAGAAGGTTCAAACAAAGATGGAAAACAAACAACAATCTGATCTACTAGCCATGGCTACCAAACCCGAAAAGGCTCATTTCATCTACAACTTTATTTCCCGCTAGATAGCGTATGAAGTGTCAGCTAACAAGAACATCGCCAACTTATTAATATGATTTCAATTTCTTCTGTTGTTCCGTGATCAAACTATCACTACCCAATCCCAATTCCGACATGCAAATGTACTCTGGAATCTCAATTAATACACCAATTAACACCGAACAAGAAGCACCCAACGGGCAAGTCAAAAGACTACATCTTCTCATCAAATCCTCATCATCATCGTCTTCTATTTTCCAGTCAACTGAAGATTGTTTAGAATTCTTTAAATTCCATTTGTCCTCAGCTCCTCAAAGATGTCTTCCACTGCCTAATTTTATCCAACTCGCGCGGAGCCCCAAAGAACAACCAGTTCCACGAAAACGGAACCTCTTCATCCATTGATTTCTTCTCAGCGATAAAAAGAAAGAAAAGAAAGAAGGACGATCAACAATTATGGCCTATGATCGACGAAAATCCACCGTAATCTACCTCGAACTGTACCGAGAGTTACTCGATATGCATCGAACATCGAAAACCCCAACACACAGGATGGCATGGCTCTCGAATTTATTGCCCCAGGAAGTTAAAGATAGAAAGAGCAACGGAGGATGATGAGATATGAACGAAATGAAATCAAGGGAAGAACCGAGAAAGACACAAGGCATGCAAGGAAGAAGATCCGAACCTTACCTTCTACGGAGCCGCCGATCGACAGAGGGAGAGAAGTCAGCGTAGAGGGACGGAGAGGCCGTTAGGGCTCGAGAGAGACACCATTATCTGTTACCCCAAAGGTGGGCTATAATACGGCATCGAGATGACTCGTTGGGCCCATATAGTAAGATCCGGCCCATGTAAACTTGTGCGATACGTGTAAAATAGTGCGATTCAAGAATGAATTGGAGTCATTTGCCACTTCCGAAGTCGAAGATTTATGTCTCGGAAATGTCGCCTTAAATCAATTTATCTGAAAGGTTTTCCTTATATATATATATATTGTGTGTGGGGGATGGAGATCGGAGAGCTGTAACGTCGTAGGCTATCAACAATAAAAATGCTTTCATATTCATTTCGAAAAACATGCATTGAAATCGACATTTTGCGATGGTTAATTGATAACGAAGCCTTCCAAAAGTTCGTTTCTTGCTAGAAGAACAAATGAATCTGTGTTTGGAATATTCATTTCAAAAAAGCTTAAACGATCGACAACTTGCAACTTTATGTTGAGATCCTTACTGCCAACAAAGTCTTCCATGAGTTCATCATGTGGTTCCAGAGATTATACATATAACGATTCAGCAATCGCATACCCACACCATCATATGATGAACTTATCTACTACTGCATCCACTTTGTTACAGAGATGAACACAAGCAACAATAGATACATGTCGCATGCTTAGCATTAGATGCTTCTTCATACTTCAACGTGCCAAAAAAATGATCAGATTTGTCGACCAAAATATAAAGCAAGGGAATGAATCTGTACTCATTCTCTACCATCAAAGAGAATTGTTCTAGCACCAAAACGACACCATGAACTCAGAGGAGAACAAATCTCAGATGACTTAAGCAGGGCAAACAATAAAATAAACTGAAAAAATATAAACCCCAATAATTTCACAAGTGAAGAATGATGTGCCTGGGCCGTCTGTTGATCTAAATTATCCCAATAAATCACTAAAACCAAAAACAAAGAGAATGCAAAGACTCATTTTGGGTTAATCAACCAGACTTTCTGAGAGTGATTTAGTAACTTACAGCATCAAAACACTTTTAACATTTTGAATTGTAAACTACTTGTTCATCCACAAAAATTTAATAGCCATGTACCAAATATCGGAAGGCCGTCGGCAGTACGGAAAAGTAATGATGCATCAATTTACCTTTTCCTTACATGGAATCAATGTGACAGATGCATATTCAAGATAGAAAATGCATTGCGCAACAATCAAAGCTCATGGTCACCTGCCTTTTGCGTCGAGTAAAAAGATATTGAAAGGTGCAGGAAACAACACCATGCATTTTTGCTCTTCAAACAGGCCAAGTATGCTCATTTCTTTTTCATTCTTCATAATGATGTAGTAGCCAAAAAGAAATTAAACCTCACGAGAAAAGGAAAAGAAATATCAAAATTCGATCAGATCTATATCAGCACCAATTTTTACTATCAATTTTAGCCATAGTTTTACCCCAACCACGAAATATTTTACTAAGCATGACACTCAATGTGCTTGACAATGCTTAATTTTACTCCATTGTAGGATTATCCAAAGCACGACATGCCTTCTATAGAAGCATAACCAGAAGGTGCATAATGCAAGGTCCGTATGAGTTGATATGGATATGCTAAATTGCTTGCCTTAAGCTAAGATGTGAAGTGAAGAGCAACAAGTCATCACAATAGGTGAACTCAGTCTCAACACGCCTCTTGAGGTACAAACTGACTCTATGTCTAAATAACTTTACAAAGACAAATAGGCTTCCTGGAAGAATTTTCCAGCTTGACAACTATTACACTTAGGTCAATATTTCAAATCAGATTAAGAAAGCAGTTATGAGCATATCTTCTTTCTGTGTCCTATAATAACCAGAAGAAACAACCATTTTCAACACACCAAAAGCTACTGTGAGAAAAATAATTAAAAAAACCAACAGCAGCACGGGCAATATAATGGACTAGAGGATATCAATGATATATTTGTATCACTAATGGGCATCCCCAACAATGAGCATCCATGTGGTGCATGCACATAAGTGCTAGATGAAACCTAGGCTTCATTTGCAGACAACAATTTGCTCCTCAATCATAAGTTGATCAGACAGTAATCAATTTGTTCAGAAGTCTACAACAGATCACATATATGGCAAGCCTGCATTAAGCGACTTCCATAAGCTGCTAGAGATCTCTAGAAATATGGCTGAAGATGCAGATAAACTGAATGCACATTATTCCTCTTATCCCACAGATAACAAGAATTATATGAAACTAAGGAGAACAAAATTTTAGTGTATAGACAATTACAGCATATTTAAATATTAATTTGTAAGCTTGCCAAGTTGATTGAAAAATGCATAGAAGTTTACAGGGGTTCAGTCCTTTGAGAAACAAAGCTAGTCCTCAAAAACAGATTCATCAAGTGATGTGCAAACAGCACATTTTACATAGTGGAAGAAAGTATTAAATGCAACACGAGTGTTTTATACTCTTCATACAAGCCATAGAAAATATTATACAACATTCTTCCCTTAATTCATCAAAAGTCTACCAACTTACCTGGTATAACTGGAGAATCCTTGGACAACTTACCATTTGAAACATCAACAGGTAGACGTGACCAAGACATAAGACTCCTTGACTCAGACCGCCACCTCAAGAATAGCATGAAGGCAATCACTGACAAGCTCATAAATGCAAAGCCACATGTAAGTGAACGAAGAAAAGCTCCAAAGCCTCTTCCGACCGGATCCTCAGAAACCAAGATAACTGGAGCCTTGCCATCAAGACTGCCCATTGTATTGTTGATCTTCATTATCTCCAAACCATTCAACAATCCTCGAATCCAGGAAGGATTACTCAGATTAGATGGACCAATGCTTATGCTCAAAAGCTCCAAAACATCAACATCCACAACAAAGTCTACATAATATGGTGAAGCCAGTATTTGCCCAGTGGAATCAGAGAGATCAAAATCTTGATATGCCAAGTACCCATTAAGGTAGACATTAAAATAAAGCTGGTTAAGCGCCAAACTAGCAATATCACAGAAATGCATCCGAACAAGGTACTTGTAACCTGAACTGACGGGGAATTCCCATGTCATGCTATAATTGGAGCCTGGAACAGTGGCACCACTCGTTGCTCTTGCGGTATTATAAACATTATCAGGGGCAACTTCACGACTCGCTCCGTATCTCTGGTACTTAATCCTTCCGCTATATGTGACAACTTTCGAAGCAGAACTCAGCTTTAGAAACTCAACGTCAGAAACCCACGTCCTCCAGAGAGTATCGTTAAAAGGAGTCACCTTTGGACCCCCAATATTAACCCTATAGAGTGTTTCCAAAGCCTGTTTCGAAAGCCCATGAAATTCCGTAATTTCATCGGGTTTTACTAACCTTCCAGCGTCCAAAATGAGATCTTTCGGAGCTGACATGACTTCGATGGCGTTTACAAAGGCAAAGGAGGACCTGTCCGCCGGAGAAAACGATATTACGAGCTTCCCTTCATTCAGGTTGATGAAGTACTCCTTCATCACAGGGCTCGAGGTGCCGAAATAGGACAGTAGGGTAATATCCGAGGCCAAAACGTGGAAGCGAGCGGAGGAGAGGTCGTACTCCGGGGTGGAGAAGGGGTAGAAGTGGAGGCGGATCCGATGGATTCCCTTGTTCTTGATCTCGAACGCATAGGAGGAGGGGCAAGCGAAGACCCTGGCATTCCGATGGAGCGGGACGGCGTCCGGGGACGGGTTGGAGAGGGAGATCTGGCGGCCGTGGGAACGGAGGACGGGTGGGGACAGACCGGAGTCGGGGAGGAACGCGCGGCCGTCGTCGAGGTCGGCGGCGGAGGAAGCGCCGCAGGCGATGAGGTGGTTGTCAGGGGGAGAGAAGCGGACCGCGGAGAGGGTGGAGATGAGGGAGAACAGGAGGAGGAGACCGGTGGCGAGATCGCCAGGGATTCGACGACTCGCCATTGGAGATGGTATCGATCACGAGACGGGGATTTGGGAAGTGTCTTTTGCTGGCGACGGAAGGGTCTGGAAATTGGGGTAGGACGACGATTGTGGTTGGTTTCGACGCGAGCCAGCTGTCACGCGGTCCGAACCAGAGAGTCGGTGGGACGGGAAGAAAATTTCTACCCCGCGTTGGAGAAACTTCAATGATGCTATCGACGCGCTCCAGCGTAGCTCGATCGTGGTCGGTCCCACGCGGGACCCACCGCGGGATTGTGATGTGGACGGTCCGGATTGTTCAGTGGAGAAGCGTCGGCCCTTTACGCAGCAACGCATGACGAGTGAGACGCCTTATCTGAACGGATGTACTCAACGGTCCATAAAATAGTTTCAGTAAAGGTTATTTATACCGATTAAATTTGACCAAGTCAAACATTTCGATGATGACCTTCGATTCTCCAGAATCACAACCGAGTCATATATAATGCACGGTTCTGCGATTGGTCTCTCATATATAGCCCAGCATCAACATTTGAAGTGAGTCGAAAAGGCCATTGGAGTTGCAGAAGAAAGTTTTATGTAGAAAAGGCCTGTAAATTGGCTGCTACGACAATCAAATTAAACGAGCATCCATACAGTAACACTGGCTCATATAATAATAATTCAACTATGATTGCAAATTTATATGCCTTGGCCATCCAGAGTAATTATCTTCCTTCGTCGGTGACCAATTGGGAGAATACGATGCTTGCCATCAAGTCCGATTCCCCCTGCCTGGCCATCCTGCTCCTGTCATTTGCCTCATCAAAGTTTAAGCTCGCCGTATCCACGTCCCTCATCGCTGCTACCGACATCTGCGACTCCACAGCGCCACTATCCTCGTGCGGTTCCCTCTTCAGCTCCGTCACATGAAGCTGGAGAGCGTACTCTAAGTTCCACAGGATGTCCGCGAACGCAGGCCTGTCGATACCATACTCTGCGACACACTTCTCCGCCGTCTCACCAAACTTCCTCAGTGAATTGGTGTTGATCTTTCCCACAAGCCTCTGATCGATGATCTTTTCGAGCTGGCCTCTCCTCTGCCAGTGAAGCGCCCACTCCGCCAGGTTCAGCTGCTCCATGGAGAGGCTTCTATCGATCACGGGCCTCGCGCACAGCACCTCGAAGAGCATCACTCCGAAGGAGTAGACGTCGGACTTGTCGGTGAGCTTCTGCGTCTTGAAGTATTCCGGGTCGAAGTATCCAAAGGTGCCCTTGACTCCGGTTGTGACATGGGTCTCGCCGAAGGAAGGACCCAGCTTCGAGAGGCCGAAGTCGGAGACCTTGGCCAAGTAGTTTTCGTCAAGCAGGATGTTGGTGGACTTGATGTCGCGGTGGATGATGGTGTGCGAGTAGCCGGTGTGGAGGTAGTGAAGGCCCCTAGCGGCCCCGATGCAGATCTCCAGCCTCTGCTTCCACGAAAGACACGGCTTGTCCGAGCCGTACAAGTAGTTCCTCAGCGTCCCCTTCTCCATGTACTCGTAGACCAAGAGCCTCTCCGATTGCTCGTCGCAGTACCCGATCAAGGAGACGAGATGCCGGTGGCGAATGCCGGACAGGACGAGGATCTCAGTCTGGAACTCCGGGTACCCTTGCTTCGACCCCGGCATGGCTCGTTTCACCGCGATCTTGGTACCGTCGGCGAGGACACCCCTGTATACCCTCCCGAAGCCGCCGCTGCCGACAACAAGGCTCTCATCGAAGTCGTTAGTAGCTGCCTTGATGTCGAGCAGGGGGATATAGAGGCCGAGATTAACTCTGAGCGATGCTGCGAGCGCCGTTCCTTCGGTGGACTTACTCGAACGCCCAACAGAGTTTCCGCGCGGAGTTTCTCGAAACGGAGACCAGGATTCATTCGGCAGCAGAGGCAGAGGCTTCGATCTGCGCCTCTTACGTATGAAGACCATGACAAAGATGATCAGAAGACTCACAAGCAGGACGCCACCAACAACGACGCCGACTATCGCTGCAATAGGCACGCCATTGCTGGAATTTGATAGCAGGTTGGAAGTTCCATCAATTTCCTTGAAGATCTCCAGCCCGTTGAGTATGGCATTAGCATTCAACGCCGTGGTCCGGTCAACGTCCCGGCCAATGCTTATATTGATCGTTCTGGAGCTCGGAACTTCCAAGTCGCAGTCAATATAGAATGCTTGGGCAAGAAACTGAACGCGATCACTGGCTCGTATCTCCTTAACTCGCAGGTTCCCGACGTAGAGGTAGAAACTGATGTCATTGTTGATCGCTGGCGATATGAAATCACAGAAATGTGTTCGTACCAGGTACTTGTAACCTGCGACCACCGGAAAGCTCCACGTAACGTTGAAGTTGAAACTGGGGTTGGCCCGGAGTGAGCTCGAGATGTTCATGGTTCTGGCCGTACTGTAGACTGTCCGCGGAGCGACATCGTCAGACTCGTTCTGCTGGTACGTAATTTTGTCGGGGTCCGTGTGGTTCGACAAGGAGGCAACCTCGTTAAGGAGGTACTCATCGTCGGCGATCCACGTCCTCCAGAGGCTGTCGTTGACCCGAGGCCCGCCCATGTTGATCCTGTGGACAGTCTCAAGCGCTTGACGGGACAATTGGGCGATATCCGGCTGTGAGTCTTCGTTGATGATGAGATTGGCGGGTGCGGTGAAGACCTCGACGGCGTTGACGAAGGCCAACGACGAGCTCGGACTTGGAGCGAAGGTGACAACGAGCTCGTCAGAATCGACCCAGAGGAAGTACTCCTTGATGGTCGGAGCCGTGGAGATCGGTGCGGAGAAGTCTTCGAGGAGGACGACGCCGCGTTGGAGGGCGTTGACGCCAAAGCGGGCGGAGGAGAGGTTGTAGCTGTTGCCGGAGAAGGGGAAGAAGTGGAGGCGGAGGACGTAGGTACCATGGGTGTTGATCGTGAAGCGGTAGGAGGCAGAACTGGTAAAGACGCGAGCGGTGGAGTAGAGGGAGGAGGAGGAGGCGGCGACCGAGGGATTGGAGAGGGAGGGGTACTTGGCGGAATCAGAGAGGAAGGGAGAGTCATCGGTGAAGTTGCGGGAAGGCACGTCGGTGGTGATGACGATGCCAGGTGCGGAACCGCAGTTGAGGTAGTGGGAAGTGTCGGGGTTGAAGGCAGTGGTGGAGACGAAGAGGGCGGAGGGGAGAAAGAGGGGGAGGAGGAAGGCGAGAATCCTGAGATCCATTATGGTGCTACGGAGCACCGGGGAGTGCTTGTGGGGGGATGCTTATGCTTGTGACTGCTAGCAAATTTACAGCGGGTTGTGGAATTGGAATGGGTCCCCCTTTGGCCCTTAGCGTGGAAAATTCATAACCCAAGACGAGCAATTGCAAACCACGGCCCGCCCGCCATCCCCACCTACCCTGGTAATCACCGAAGGGCCCACCTGTCACACCTCCAAAACCCAGACGGGTAGACACCGGGTGTCGCTGCATATCCGTGACCGTAGTCCATCATAAGTGTGGATACGACCTCTCCAAGTTGCAATCTCATCATCTATCGCTTCGAAGAAAAGTTGGCCCGCGACGTCCCACGCCTGAATTATTGCCAGCCCTTCATCCACTGGGCTCAGTGCAGGTCCAAGTGATTTAACTGTGGAATGAAATGAAGGTATAGTGAGACAAATCATTGGAAAATATATTTGAAGAGTCTTGATCAAGTGCGGTGGACAGTGCCGTGTGTAGACCACTTCATCCTAATATTCCAAAATATCAGTAGAAAATGGCCATGCTGACGACGGACAGCTCCCTTGCGCACTCACTTTTTTGTGGACTCCGTGACTTCTTCGGGTCGGCTGTCTCTCGTGGTGGCGGGACTCAGCGGACTCGCAGTCTGCGGGGCCCTGCCGAGTTGTTGTCCGCTAAGTAAACGGCGTTTGGTGGCGCAACTCCTGTGCTGGCATTAATGGCGATCGGCTTCATTAGGAGGCGGCTGGGGCTGGCCGTCGACTGATTTTGTCTCGTTGACCCAAGTCAACAAATAAACAGTTGGAAAAGGGGGTTCTTCGCCACGGGAAGCATCGCGTCGGGGGGCTCATCAATTGACTCGTGCCCCGTGGTTGACGCAGACGTGATCTTGAGATCACGGGACGCATCTTGAGTCCATGGGAAGGCGGAGTCTACGGTCTTTGGCATCGTCCGACGGGGCTTCGTTGACCTCTCGAAGTTCAAAGCACGAGAGTTCTACTTCAACGCTATCCACCGTCTGCATCTTATCATGCTCAGGCTGTCAAGATATAGTCATTAACATTATCGTTCGGATCATTTCGACTCATTTGAATCATCCAAACCTTTAGAAAAATCATGTAAGTACAACCCTGAGATAGGCTGTTCGTTTGTCTCAGCAGAGACGAGAGAAATGAGAGACGGGGTGACCAAGTTTCGGTAGTCAACGTTATAATCATAAGAATCAAAATATTTATTTATCATTAGCATACTTGTAACAATTTGCACATCGATTCCTTCCGTAAAAATATGGAAAACACTTGAAGCAACACATCGAATTATCTAAAAAACAGGGGAAATAGTCCTAAGTAATAACATTGTGCATGAACATGGTGACTTTACATCAAAAATATTGTGGCATCAAGGCAGGAATATGACCATCTCTCATGAGGCCACTGAGACAAGTAATGATCACTACAATTGGTTGATATCTGTTCATGCCAAATGGTCATCATCATAATGTAATAAACATTGTGGTTTAGAATTGACATAAAAATAGACACACTCGATCAACCTATAATTTCATGCTTTCCAGTGCTAGGTGGGTGTTCTAATAACATGGACACTTAGCTTCGCTATTTGTCACCAGAGATCAGAACTCAAAGAACACCAAAAGGCTACCATGCAAGCACAGAACAACGTAGAAATGTACTACGTAATTAATATACAAGCACAGTACAATGTTACAAGGGTGTTTTTAGCGAGTTTTCAACCACATCACCAACTCTGTCTATAATTATCAGCAAGGCAAACTCATATCTCGTCCCCTCGTATCATTGCAAATGATGATGAGCATGACATGATAAAAAGTGGCCCCATATGCTGCCAATGGTCAAGCTTATGAAAATTAAACTTTGACCTGATTAGCACAAAGTAATAGCTCCTTTTCAGAAAGACGAAAAAAGAAAAGGAAAACATAAATCAACAACTATACAAACAGACAATCCATGGGACCAACAGGTAGAATTCAAGGTCACCGGATGTGACTTCTGCCAAGAGACCTTGCTCCGATATCGCTGCCAGTGTTCTGTTGTAAAAGCTTAATATTAGCACAAAGCAATCCTTCAATTGCAACAATTTCAGGTGTAAGTGTATGCAAAGAAGAAGAGAAGGTGATGCATTGAGGGCCTTAAGTTGTCCAGCTCGAAAGAGTGTCTGTATCATGATATATCTAAAGTAGGAAAAGGCCCAAAATATTTGGGCATGACACAACCTAGCTATGAAAAAAGACAGGTACATGTACCTGAGATTTAGATGGGAACACATTCCAAAATCTTAGCGTTTCATCACCGGCACCAGTGACGATGGTCTGCATGATGAAAAGAGGTCAATTGATGAGCTATATCTTGGTAAGTATAGAAATAAAAGAGAAGCAATTACCTGCCCATCAGGAGATATGGCGAGGTACAGGACTCGGTAAGTATGGCCGGTAAGTGTTGCAAGCTGCAAAGCACGATACATTGTCTCAGTAAAGTAAAAGAGTTATTTTGGTGTTTAATTGTCAGAAAGCCTGGGATAAAGGCACACCTTGGACATGGTTGGATATCGCCAAACAATTATTTGGTTTTGGGAATAACCATGGGTACTGACAATTTCATTGACATTCTTTGACCATACAAGGTTGCAAACCTGCTCGAAGATGAGATATTTAGTTTTTGTTTTTTTTTTTTCTTCTAGTGTTACCCCTAACTATATCATCTGCATGTACTCAGGAAACACAGATCTCTAAGTCTAAAAGATGGGGCTTAATTATGATACTTGGAAAAAAGATCACCAACATCAATATTCACTATTTTATGAGTAGTTTAACAACAATATCCCTGAAAGATGCATGACACTATTGCAGATTCCAAAAGATCAGCAGTTGAGCCATCCCCTTGCTCCTCTGTATACAGTAATGATATAGTTAACAATAGACAGCAAATGAAAAGGTGGCAAGGACCTAGAAATCCTAAAGTCCAGATAATATACATGTATGGTTGATACCTATTTCAAAAACTATACTGGATTGTATGGTTGACATGGTACTGGTACTGTGAACTCTGCTTCGAAAAAAGAAAATATTTATTTATTTGTCAAATAATCTGAGTACTACAGTATATCAGCATTCAAGTCCAATAAAGAAGCACAGTTGGTATAGTATGAATAGATTTGGTGTCGATAACGATCAATGGTCAGACTAGTATTGATTTATGCACTGGCACTCGATATAGGTTGGTACCATGTGGACCAAAGAGAAAGATGGATATAAGATGGGAGGAGAAGAGGGAAGAGAATGAGGCAGAAGAGGAGTACAAAACAAACCAGTCGGAGGAAATGGCAACCTAGAAAAAGTGGAGAAGATGCTGGAGATGCAGCAGGGAAGACAAAACAGTTGCAGAGATACAGCAGGGAAGAGGAGGCAGTGGTGGAGAGGAAACAGAGAGAGTGTGTGCAAACTTTTGAAACAAGATTTCCCTGCAGCCAAAGATAGGTACTAAATTCAAAAATTAAGATTAGCATTTAAAATGACACAAATGCACAAGGTGTTTATGTCTATTAAAGTTATACAAAGAAGAAGCATAGTTGAACTATTTCCTGACGTAAAGTGAAAATGAAGAAGGAATTGACATAGATTTGAAAACAAAATATTAAAGAGTAGAAACACATGGAGAAAAAGCATAGCTGCAAATCTGTTAGTATAGTCATAAGATATGAAAGATTCCTTCGGTTTTGTGATAATCTCAGCTATTCTAGTAAGCTGATCTTTGAATGATCACCACTAACATACATGTTTAGAACCAAAAATAAACAATACTTCGAAATGAAATGATTGGTGAAACATTTTAGGTTGTCATGTGCCAGCAGTGTATTAAATGGTCAAAAATATATCCAACTAGTATAAGATGTTAAGCTGTGATAGGTTACCTGACTTCCAGTGTCAATGCAGCTCAAGTGAGAGTTTGTGGTAGTATTCCACAAACGAATACATCGGTCTGCAGTTCCTCCACCAGATGCTAGAAGTCCATGTACATGTGGTGACCATGCAATTGCTTTTACAGCTGCAGTATGTTCACAATATTTCAGTACCGGCTGTGAGGAATGTTGATTCCACACAAAAAGCTGACATAAGAAAAATGTGAGAAGGTTACATACCGAATCTATAAAAATTCAATTGTAAAGAATTAAGTAAATCATGAAACAACATGCATAGAAATAACAATAATAACCTACTTACTTTGTTATCATTTCCACCAGAAGCAAGTTCAAAATTATCATAAGACCACTTCAAGCCACAAACCTGCAAAGATAAGAACCATAAGAATCACAACATATATATATATATATAGCAAGTGGATATATATGTTGTGAAGTTCATTAGAAACATATACTTGCTCTGATCAGAAATAATCTCAAACCTAAAGATCTTAATATATGCAGATGATCAGGAAAAGCCAAATGAGATTGTTACTCAAGACGAAACATTCAATATGGAAATTTGTGCAGGTGATTGTGTCAATAAATCACCTCTGACTTGTGCCCTGTCAGCTTGCTAACAAAATCATCTTGGGCACGAATATCACGCTGTAGAATCATCTTATCTCTGCTACCTGAGGATAACAAAGATGAACCCCATGCAACAGCTCCAACTCGCAAAAGGTGGCTCTCCATTGTCCTTATCCTCCGACAATGAGTAGCATCCCATATCTGTGTCAAATAAAAGACAAAAAATACATAATGCTGGAAGATTTAGATACTGATGGTTTCACACCCTTTGGTGGGATTAAGTAAAAATGAACAGATATCTAAGGCCAACAAAAACTTATATACAGGACAAAACAGTAAGTTAAATTGAATCCTGAGACTAACAACAAACAGCAAATGAAAACAAATGTTAAGATAACAACCATAATATCGAAGTTTTACTTCCAGAAGCAAATGCACATTGTAGAACTATGAACAATCCGACAAATGAAAACACCTCGTTCAAGAGTATACTAAAAGAAAAGAAGCAAAAGTGCATTTAGGATATTCGTGCAAAGTAGTAATAAACATGTCTGGAATAGATAAAGAATAGCCAAGGTAGCCAGCCGTAAGAGAACTCCTATGTTACCCTCGATCTCTGCTAAAATTGTTGCTATAAGAGGGTCGACAACAAAAGACCAAGATACTACCTGAACTTTCCCCTTGTTAGTACCGATGGCCAAGTGATCGCCACGCTGTGCCCATCCAACCGAGCACACACTGTCATCCACACCCAAGTCGCAAAGCTTGGTAACCTTGCATGACAATCACGTAGAACAAAGTCATTACGGGTATATGTGTAAAAGCATCAAGAGAAGCAACAGCAGAAAAATATCTTACCTTGCTACTGCAGGCATTCCAAAGATACACGCAATCGCCCAAACCAACAGCCAAGACATTGTGTGAAGACCAATCGACGAGGTTCAGGTAGAAATCGTCCTGCAATGCCGGTGCATCCAGTACCTAGGAGCAACAGAATTCCAATTTCAGCACCAGAAGAAAAACTTGCCCAAATCACATTCATCAAATCCAGCCTTTCTCAACTACAATGACGAACAATGACAACTCCAAGAGGAAAACGAAAAGCGAACCTACCTTGTAAGGCGATGGCGACACCTTTCTCGGCGCCCTCGGATGGATATGTAGGAACCCGGGAAGCCCATCTTCGAACTGCGTCGCAAGGGAGTGCCGGGGCACATCAGCCTTGTACCTAAAAATGTTCCTACTGGGGATCGAGAAACCCGAAGAAGACGACGTCGAGGAAGCGGCGGAGGAAGACCTCCTCCCGGCTGCCTCCGCCGATCGGTCGGGCGTGGCCGGGGGCGCCACGCCCTGATCCGGCCCAAAGAGAGCATTTCTCAGTAGGGCCGCGTAGGCGCCGGATCCATACTCTCTTCCCGACACGTCTGAGGACGAGGAGGCGGAGGGCGAGGGGGAGAGGTCGAATAGGGTGAAGTTGGACCCAATGCGGCTGGGAATGAATCGGTCGCTGTAGATGGTGCGGGGGGAGGAGTACGAGGACGGGAGGGCGCGCGAGGGTGTCGAGGACAAGGAAGGCTTCTCCATGCGAGGCGACGAGAAGGCAAAGGCCGAAATGGAGTCCATCCCAAGTGACCACCGCAGCTACTGTTGTTGCCTTTATCGTTCCCATTACCCGCTCCCGCGAAGGAATCCCTTCTGCTACTGCTGCTGCTCCTCCTCCTCCTGTCGGGTTGTTGTTTCGGATTTCGGTCGTCACGTCGTGATCCGGATCCGACCTCATTTTAAGCAGCATCTCTCGCCGCCCGATTACTTCCTACGCGGTCGCTTATCGATGTGATGATTGCAAAAGACATGTGAGGGTAGTGTGAGGAGGAAAGTGAGCTTTTATTTTCCAATATCGGGTTTTCGGGTAAGCCCGTTAACGGATTTGCCCGCGGATCTGACTCGGATGTCAATAATAAAAATATAATATCTTTATTACTGGGATTTGGGAATCGACACCGGCGCAGTTGATCATGGAGTAGCTCCGTAGCGTCGGCCGGAGGAACCTCAACCCACCATCGCTAGGTTAAAACATGTGGAGTCGACGATATTAATGATGAGTTATCATTTCATGCATCGCCCGATAGAACCTGAACCGGAACGAGTTGCCTGACGTACCCTGGACCAGATGTTGACCGACTCCGGATGACATTTCGGTTCACAGGTGCTCGTATCGGAGGCAATTATTAGCACCGGGCCCCACAATCTGTCCCCTCCAAATGTATCGGCATCGTTTCCATGACACGTTAATAATAATCATAGGCTCGTGATCCGCTATTACTTGTCAAAGTTTAATTATCAGGATGTCCGACACAAAATCCAAGAGAGAATCCGTGGTAAATGTGACGATCGAGAACAGATTTGGGGTCTCACACGGATCGAGCATCAACAGAAATAATTTCTTAAAATCAGGAACTTTAATCGGGGGGTGGGTTATTTAGAATTCGAATCATAATGCAGCTCAAAAGTTGAGGTTGGAGGAGTAGGCGAGCAGCAATGCCAACCTGCTCTCCTGCCATGTTGTCTCCCATCACGGATCCTGTCAAGTCCACCACCACCGTAATGACAACTTGCAGACTTCCGCACGAACACTGCATGTTGACATGCACCGAGTGGCAGCTTCACAAGATCACAGGGCTTTCGGTGCGAAGAAGGGTTAGCAATTCTCCGAGGCAAGCCAAAAAGGACAACAATGACTACGATATTTATTCTCGAGCTACGTAGATTAAACCGGGATTATAGTCATAGCCGATCAACAATATATGAGTTCTACTGGAAATAAAACCATAGAAGTTGGTAACAGCCCAACTATTGCTATCGTTACAAATTGTATTTAAGCTGCTGCTAATAATATAAATGATAGATGGGGTGGGGGGGGGGGGGGCTTAACGCCACGCGGAGGACACGGTGAGGACTCGACCCATCCAACCGAACCCGAGCGCGACCCCGCCGGCCTCATCCTTGATCGTGAACCCAGGATTGGACCGGAATGACGCGAGCCGCGCCTTCACCGGTTCCGAAACTCCTGGTCCGACCGGGACGGGTTGGAAACCGGCCATGCTCATCCGCGCACGCCACTTCCCTAACACCTCGCACCGCTCGACCCGGTCCGCGCCCTCCCGGGCTACCGAGTTCACCGCCCGCCGAGCCAACCCGGCCTCCACCCGCTCTCGCTCGCCGCTTTCCCGCGGCACCGTCGCGTCCAGCGACTCCAGCAGCGCCCCCAAGTGCCCGCACGCCTCAGCGAACCGCCCGGAGAAGGCGGCGGTGTTGGTGTTGATCTCCTGCTCCACCAGCGTCACCACAGCCGGGCGGAGAGCGCGCACCCGCCGGAGAAGCTCGTCGCGGGGGTTCGCCGGCGATACGCTCTCGTCGGCCACACGCGAGAGGACGAACGCCAGGTTCACAGCCAGGGCCTCGCCGGGCTCGTACCCCAGCGACGCCGCGTCCAGCTCAGACGCCCGCCGGGAGACGATGGTGAAACGGAGCCCCACGCCGGCCCGCTCCGCCAGCTTAGCGATTCGACCGCCAACTTCGCTCAGGCTAGAGGCGTCGTAGTTGCCGTATAGCAAGGTTGTGGGATCGGCGACGGCGGTGATCTTAACGGCTGGAGGGCGGGCGGAGGAGGGCCGGCAGCGATGACGGTCGGCGAGGGCGTGGATGAGGGCATCGTACTGCCGGCCCTGGCCAACATCCAAATCGACGATATGGATCTTGGGTTGGTCCTTGACGGCCTCCAGAATTGCAAAATTGGCGGCGATCAGGCTGAGCTTAAAGCAGGGCGAAAGGTCGTAGAGCATCTGGGTGGCGGCCAAGTGCTCCCCGCTGCACAGCTCCGCGATCGCTTTAGATCTCCCGGTTCGAGGAGGATTGAGTCGAGCAAGGAGAGTGGCGAACATCATTGCAGTCAACCGCTGTTCTGCGTCGCCCCGTGGGTTGGCTGAGCGCTTCAGCACGGCGAGGTTCGCCTCCGCAGCCTCGAGGTTACCGTCGGCGATGGACGCCGCAGCGTCGAGGAGCACGTGCCGTGAAGAGGAAGAAGATGATGACGGAGGAGGAGGCGTGAACGAAGGCGGTGGAGGGGAGGACGAGGCGGAGGAAGAGACAGTGGAGGAGGCCGAGTTGGTCGGCGACGGCAAGAGCTTCTTCGCGGCTGCGAGGCCCGGCGGCGGCGGCGGCGGCGGGAAGATGATCTGCTGCACCTCCTGGCCCCTCCATTCGGCGCCGGTCAGGGCGGAACCGGAGGCGCAGGTCTCGTCCTCCTCGTCGTCCAGTAGGAGCCGCCGCTCCAGCTCCTGGAGCCGGTTCCTCATCGCGTCCGACCCCTTATCCGGTCCGAAATCGGCTCTCCTCTGGGGCGCAAGCTCGGAGGAGACCGTGGTCAAAGAGGAAGTCGACTTCAACGGAGTGGGAAGACGAGCGGGTGAAGCGAGGCGGCCAACGGGGGAGGCGAGATGAGTTCGCTGCTTCACCGAGCGGAGGAACGGCATCTGCTGCAGCTGTTGCCGCCTCCGCTCCTCCATTTCCGTGAGGGAGCGCTTCAAGAGGCCCGCATCCTCCGGTCGGTTCCCGGGTTCGGCTTCAAACCCGAACCCGAGGTCGCGAGTCGGAGGGAACCCAGACTCCATAACTCAGCGTAGCAAGCAAAGGGGGAGGGTGACGGTGGCGACCAGCGAGTTCCTCCTCTCAAGAGGTGGCTACTCTGCGCCTCATGTTCATCTGGAACAGCTTTCTCTCCGCAACAAAAGTTCCACCCGGAAGGCCCTCTCCCTGTCTCCCTCTCCTCCCTAAATAATAGAGAGACAGAGAGGGGTTGGCTGCTTTTGCCCGGTATCACATCATCATCATGATGTGGCTGCCCTTGCCTGCTCCGTCGTCTCCCTCCCCGCTTCGAAGATGCCATGACAATAAATAATAGCACGTAAACGACGGAAACGCAAGCCACATACCGTGATGGATCATCCTGACTCGGACCATTTTTACGATGATGCACCGAAAGACTCAACCGGGTTGCGGCACGGCTCTCGCACGCCATGACCGTGGCAGCATCCACCATTTGAGTTCGAGCACGCAGGGTTTCGTCGGTCAGCGACGCGGGTCGAGGGAAGCGGGACCCACCTCTGCGGCGGTGAGACCCATGCGGCCGTGCCTGGGGATGGGGGCTCTCACATGTTGAACCCACTACTAACAGATAGATATAAAGGCCCGATGATGGTGAGTGAGGTCGAGAAAAGTAGAAATGGGTGGCGTACTTTCTCCTACCCGGCCATGTATCGTACGTATTATGATACGCTGCGCCGCTGGAACGTCGCGTTATGATGACCACTGCCCTTTTAGAACGTCCACAATATGCCAAGAAATTAGCTAATCAAGTACATAATGACTTCGCTTCACGACGATGCATGGTTAACTTATCTGCCGTTCGGTGGCGTTTGACCGCGTTAGGATAGACTGCTTTCAACCCGAGTCTGAGGGTTTGTATGCGCCGATTTCTTGGCATACAAAATGGGTCGATCTAACGATGTTTATTAAAATATTAATTTTAAAATATTAAAATTAATAAAAACTATATATATATCGTCACAAAAAGAAGATAAAACTTCAGTCATCTAAAATTAGATCAAATTAATAACATCAACCAACATTATAAATATAAATCTTTATCCATATTAAATAATACATAATAATTAAAAAAAATTTAAACAGCAAATATATAATTTAATTACTTAAATAAAAATATTTATATGAAAAAAATATATTTTCAACACATCAACAATATACGATTGATATCTCAACAATATATATATATATATCTGACATGTCGAATATGTGTCCGACACCTTGATACCATATTAAAGATGAATGTTTGAATCGAGGAACCATTAAATAACTTTAAGATGTTTAAATTTGATAAAAAAATAAATATACAATCCAAGTAACTTGAATTATCATTTTGGATTGCTAATATCGATTCTCATGAACACTTGTCAAATTCTTAAGGTTATTTATCCTACTATATAAATTAAACCTCTCTTATCGACTTGATTTCTCTTTATATTTAATTTTAATTGAATCTTTCAAATTCTATTGTTGAATTGAGCAGTAAAGGGTCTTTTATTGAGCTCGTTACCAATGCAATCTTGTAAAATCGTAACAAGAGAATTCAATGCTTTTGTTAGTGTAAACAACTTTAAACCGTGGTCTCTGGGCCGACGCGATTGGGTTCGGGTCCGAATGATCGGGGATCTTCCTCGGACGATTCTTGAGACTGCAAAAGACCGACTGCGGTGGTCTGATCGCGATGGAGCGACAACTGCTTTCACCGAGGAGGGGCTCCTCGCCCGGTTGCGCGGTGGGAGGCGCTCCGTCTTCGCACCTGCACACAGGTCGGGTCGGAGGGCTCGACCCGACCCCTCCGACGGTCAAGTCAGTGGATAGTCTGAGAGAGTTTTTTCCTCTTCCCTTTTTCCTCGGAGCGCGAGGGTTTTTATAATGAAGGTTACCGTTGCCTGATGTGCCCGCTTGCAGGGAGCAGAATCGTACTCCTGGTAACGTCTGACATCAACGTTGGCGTGGCGTAAAGGACCGAGCTTGAGCAGGATGTTAATGTGCCTCGGGCGGCGTTCCGATCCGTGTTAACCAGGTGCTATTATGTTAACAGAAGCGCGAGGCGTCATCTAGGACAGCTGACGTCAACCCGAGTCTTATCACCATTATTACCCTCATCGGCTCTCACTCCTAATCATCTTATGATATTTTTAGGAATGGATCATAGTTAGATCCATGTCACTTTCTAGATTGAAATAAAATATAAAAACACATAATAAATAAAAAAAATTATAAAAAAAAGGTGATTGAAAGGAGAGGAGAGGAAAAAAAGACATAAGAGAGAAGAGGTGGAGAGAGAACAGAGAAAGATGAGAATGTGAACGGGAAATCCAACATATGAATGGTGTCGACGAGAGAGCAGCAAAGTTTGATATAAGCTTCCTTATTTACTAACTATTATTATTATTATTATTATTATTACGATTAATTGCTCGTCGTAGCAATTGTTTCGACGCGATACCCATGACAATATCTACATTATAAATTTCAATGCTAGCTATATACAGTCATCGCGATCGATGTTACATAGCGTCGATAGTTAATGTCTTTGGATGCCGATATCATTCATCAAAAAAAAAAAAAGGAAAAAAAGAAAGAAAGAAAGAAAGATGCATGCTGGTCTCCCGATCTAACCTAATGAAAGAGCAAGTAAGTCAAATCAAACTCGATAACATGTATCGATAGCTTTGGCAAATGTTGAAGACAAATGTAAATGGTCCCCTAAACAAAAGTACCCATACTGCCATACGAGGTCTCTTTCGTTCATCGGCCTCTTTAGTTTGAGCTCACGTGAAGTCTCTTTCACTTCCTACCTCCTTAGACTTCATTTATGCTGTACGATGAGGTATTGCAGATTTGGGACCATGCTTTGGGTTTGCTTCGTTCTTTCACGGGAGTGGGATGTCTTTCCGCCATCATCGCCTCCACTGAGGCTTAGCTTTTTGCCATTCGCTCACGACTCTTGTTTCGTCTGGACTCTCGAGGTGTCTCGCTTGACCGTAAAGCTAAGCAGATATGATCGAAACGAAGACCGTAAATCCAACTTAAATCCGCCAGCACTCGAGGAATCCACATTGCTACGACGTCCACAACTTTTACCGTGGAATCGTCGTCCTATCTGCGAACGAGGCAGACACTGTTCCCTTTCCCACATGAAAATTCTCATTACAAGGAGGAAAGAGCCAAAGCGGCATCCCTTGACAAGCCATGTTCCTCGAGAGTGTCTAATGCCTGCCCAGCATCAGCGCATACATGGGAGCCCCATTGCTGATCCCACAGTCGTTCGCCATCTCCATGAAACTACTCTTGTCCGACAAGCTCGCTTTTGCAAGTAGAAGTTGTTCGCTCATCATAAGACAGCCAGAAGGAAGCCGTCCTCCCCGCTCCCTTGGGCAGCGGATCGGCTACTCCGGCATCGCAACAAACATCGGATTCGCATCACAACGCACGCCAAGATGATGATACGATGGCTGTGTTTGCACTCGGCATCGTGTTTCATGTTTGCTTTCTGCCACAATTGCAGACTTGAATCACACACACAAGAACAGAAATAAGAGGATAGAAGAAGGCCGGCCCAGCACAACCATGTTGCAATCTACGGCTTCCAATTCCTGGAGCGACGCTTTCACAAACTGCCAACGATTGAATCGGCCGGCTCACCATTTGTGCAGAGAACTATCTGTTCAAATTATTTCTGGGTTGCAGCTCCACTGAACATTGCTATGGATCAAACCATTTGTGAGAGAGTACTGTTGCACACAAGCAGTGTACGTAGTCCGGCATATGCCTTTCGTTTTATAGCAAGTCATACCTACAGTGGCGTAAAGGTTTTCTTTGATATTTCATTTTAAATTAATATTCATGTGATTCGATCATTAATGGGGACTTAGCTTTTCTACTAAATTATCATGCGTCGAGTCATAATTAGGATACATATTTTTCTATCAACCTTGAAAGGACAAGAAAAAATAAATTGTTTACAGGAAGGAAAAAAAGGTCAAAGAAATAGGAGAAGAATAGTCTATTAAACATACTAAGCTTCTAGAAATAACAAAGAATTTATTAAATATAGTTAACATGACATCCAAAACAATATTCTCTCACTAGATTAATAGTTACAAATTTTTTTTCAAATTATATATTCATTTTGAACTAATTGAATTGGAGTTTAGAGGTATTATGCGTAAGTTGTCAAACATCTGCTCAAAAGAGAGAAAAAAATTTTAGAAAAATAAAAGAAATCATATTTATTCTTGATTTAAGATTAATCTCTATTGATTATAATTTATTAATAAAAATATAGAGGATGATTGTTCTTTGAATCAAGTCATAATTATTATTTCTTCAAAAAATATTATATATATTTGATTTGATATAATTATATATTTTTTATTCTTATATTTGAGTCTATAAAAAAATATTAAAATATATATTTTTTATACAAGAGATAAGTGACAAAGATAAATTGTCTTATAATAATCTATCAAAGTTCTTATAATAATCTGAAAAGATTTTGAAGTTAGTTGGTACACTATTATGCTTAAGCTATAATTATATATCATATGAAATTTTCAACCCTTAATCTCTTAGGACTAGAACGTTATGACCCACCTATATGAGTGGTGTGAGACTATAACTATATTTTTAATCGAATAATTCTACCATCCCAAGACCTTTTTAGTAGTTTTATATTTCCGATTCGATCATCTCCAAACTATTATATTTTCAATAGTGTGATTCCATCACCTCCATCATATTAATTTCTTCGAGTTAGGAAGAGACCAATAGTTATCTTTTATTTATTTTATTATTATTATTATTATTTTCTTTATTATAAATAAAAAAATTATCGCATCCTACTAATCCGATGCATCTCGATATAATATTTCACAAGAATGAGATAAAATATGAGATTACCAGATATTCTTCTTTGATCGAATTCTGCAACTGTATTTTTTATTTTAATTTTGAACTTTTGGAGACATGATAACATCCAAAAAAGAACAACAAATCAAAATTGACCTATTATATATATATATATATATAATTTAGTCTTATCTAACATATTCAACCCCAAAAAAAAAAAATACCGGAGAGGGACCAGCACGCCATTTTGACAAACACATGGAGTGCTCATAGTGCGCTCCACTGGAGCCGAGTCTCCTTTTTCATCCCCACCTTACCTCCTTTTTCCAATTGGAACCTCTGTATTATCTTCGTGAACTCGTACACGCCCGCATGGCATAATACATCCTATACGATCTCATTCTAATTGGCCCGTCGTTTGCGTCCTCTGCGATGCAGTGTTTAGTACTCTTACCTCTGGGGAAACATCCAAGCGAACTGAACCATCATGCTGCAAGCTCTGAGAGGGGACAGACGCATTGGTCCCGGAACCATGGCCGTGAGAAAAGGGAAGCCCAACAACCTAAACCCACCACCAAAATGGCAACAAACCCATCACCACCACCCCACGGGACGACGCGGAGAGGAGAAATTAGAGCGCAGGTTAACACAAGGGGAAAAGGTGCTTGCCTACATGTTTGAAAGCAGTAAAGTCACTTCGAAAAGTGGGGGAGCGAGAGAGAGGGACACACACACACACACAGGTTTCACTGCGAAGCCATGAAAGAGAGGGAGTCAGGAAGAGGGACAGCGGCGTCTTCCAAATCGGTGGGCGTGGGCAGGAAACAGGAGTGGGTAGTGCAACGTGGCGTGGTTCCCACTCGGCTGTTGTAGCCCAATTGGACGACCGGCGGATCCGGATGAGCCCACCGACCTATTGCGTGATGCCTTGTACTCGTTAAGCATAACGAAGGTGTCTTCTTCACCGTCCATTTCAATCCCATTCTTAATTTGGATCGTTCATCTTCTGGAAAAAATGGACGGTTCAGATTGGGGGAGGGGGGTTTCCAGTGGAATTCACATCTCTCGCGTACTGCTGTTACCAGCCTGATAGACTCGCTCGATGCTCGGGAAACGACGGGCACATCCAGCGCTGCTGAAAGAGACAAATGGCTCTTTCCCATTTCCTTAACCCCCTCTTCTCCCCACAGCAGCTACATCCAACCGCAATGCAACGACAACTTGGGATACAAACGGATGGATCCTTTCCCTCTCTCGGGCTTGATCTACTACTTCAGCTAGAATGGAATGGGTTACCTTTTCTTCGCCCCACCATTGCCTTTTATTTCTTCCGAGTCGTCTCACAGTAGGCAAAGGAGAAAGGGGAAAACACCGCCTGCCTTCTTCTTGTCCTTGCCATTTCTGGTGAGATCCTCTCTTTCCATCTCTCTTTGGGCGTTCATCTACTTCTGCAACCTCTCTCTCTCTCTCTCTCTTTATAGGTATCTTCTTGTGTGGGTTGGTATGCACACTTCTCTTCATCTCAGTTTAAAAAAACAAAAAGAGGAGAGATCATCATGGTGAGAGGGAAGAGGGAGATGAAGCGGATAGAGAACGCAACGAGCCGGCAGGTGACCTTCTCGAAGCGGAGGAAGGGGCTGCTGAAGAAGGCCTTCGAGCTGTCGGTGCTTTGCGACGTGGAGGTCGCCCTCATCATCTTCTCTTCCGGGGGCAAGCTCTACGAGTTCGCCAGCTCCAGGTGAGATGCGATGCCCTCCTCCTCTATCTTTCATTTTCTTTTCAGTTTCGAGGATCAACAATTAGATCAGAGAAGGCCAGATAAACCAGTATCTCGTTCTGAATATTCCATGGGGATCTATGCACCTGCTTCCTTCGTCAGCTTCAGGCCTAGATTCCCATCATCATTTACGACATCATAATCTCATAGTAGAAGAATTCCATGAAAGAAACATTTCAGACTTGGTCTCTCAGCCACCTCCGACTTGGATTTCCAACACCTTTTTTGCTTCGAGATATAAAATGGTTCTCATTCGATGTCACTTCCTTCAAGGAAAAGTGGTCGAGCTTGCTAGGTTCTGATCTGTTCATGTCCGTCCCTTTGAGTACAGTGGTCTTTATTCACAGATCTACAGATGGAACAGCAAATTAGAATGTCAGATAACATTTACATAAAGCCATCCTTCACAAATATATCAAATGAATACATAAGACGAAAAATATGGAAATGAAGAATAGGCATATAGCACTTGTTCCCTCGTTAATTAAACAAGTGAACATGCACCATCAGTTCGAATTATTTCTGCATTAATAATTTCTTGTCTCTTTTTTCTTCTGGGCATATCATCTCACAAACGAATCAGGAGACCTCAGTTGGTGGACTATATAGCCAAAGCATCGGTTAGTACATGTTGGGTCACCTATCACTCACGTATCTTACAGTAAGTAGGCCTGTAGCTATCCTAGAAATTGAAACTCTCATAAATATAATCTGAAGATTATGTCACTCTATCATGCGTCTGTACTGTCTCTGATGAAAGACACTAAACAATGTATACTATATATAATAACTTCTTTAAATTGGTAGCTATTTTAGAACTTTATAGCAATATATTTGGACAAGGCTATTAAATGAATCTCCAAAATACCAAAGTTTGGAACAAGACAACAATAATATATCAAATTTTATGTACCCAAAATTAGAACTTCAGTGATGCAAACCAATAAATGGATACACCTTTATGGTTGCAGTTAATAAATATATAGATAAAATTTGCTGTGATGAGAGGGTATTTGTTAGCTCACAAAAAAGATCTATTTAGCCTGAATTTTGTTTCATAGTCGTCAAACACATTCTGTGTTGAGGTTGGCCTGTGTTTTGGCTGTTATATCCATGGAAAATTTGACAGACCCAAACATAATCCACCTTCACTTGGAACAAAAAAATAATGAGAAGCAATGGTATGAAAACATGAGAAAAATTCCTTATAATTTCTACATGGGAACTTTTAGACATTGTAGCTCATAACTATACTAAACATAAAATAGATTTAGGTTTTCATGACGCTTCTGTTTCAGCTACGCCAATATGCAGCCCCAAAATTTTCTTTTTCTTTGTTCTTTTGGCATAGTTCTATAAGTCTCATACGGTGATACTACTATATTGTAGTATTTATTTGCTCTACCGTGTAGTTATTGCATATCGATTGAGGTGGATGTTCATCGTGATGTCTTCATTACTGTTGGATTTAGAAGAGCCAAATCCTAGAAACCTCATACATATTTAACCTATACATCTGATCAGGCCAACTAGCTTCATCAAGTTTGAGCTAAGCTCAATCTTTTCTAAATATATTTTGAGCTTTAATAATTAAAGTTGCTAGCTTTGGAGCATAACAACAACAAATCAAGCTGTTTGAGAATGAGTGTGGGAGTTCAATGTATGTCGATCCTTTAATTATGTTTACCTTCAATCTCAAATACCAATGAAAGGTTAATCTATGCACTCTCATCCAGGTTGACTACATTCTAATCTAAAAGTTAATCACTCAGATCGTGAAAAAACAATCTTATCATCATATAACTTTGACAACCTGATTCGATATAATTTTTTTATGGCGTGTGTTAGTATCAAATAATAATTTTATTGATTTCACATGTAAAAATTAGGAAACATAACAAGGAGAACACATAATTTATGCTTTTATGTATTTTATGGTCTCCAATAATTTAAGAAATGACAAAAATATAAACATCAGACGTTTAGATGTGGAATTTCTTGTTTCTCCCATTTTATATCTGCAAGCTTGATGTGACCTGAAATTGGTGAGTTTGGTTACGTTCTAACCCTCATAGTGGCTGTCCGACTTCCTGACAACAGTAGGTCATCACTCCTCTCGTAGTGGAGTCAAGCAACACGACGATAGGAACTATTTTGTTCTATATGCACATCATTGGATTATCTTTGTTAGAAAGAATTATCTTTATCCGAAAGAATAGAAGATAAAAATACTTGAAGAAGCTTTAGCTTAAATACATTAACATGTTTCCCCTCTTATTTATATAGATTATTTATATAGATTATTTATATAGATTAGGAGGAAGGATTTCCCTCAACAGAATAGAAGATTTTTCCTCGTATAGTTGGGAAAATCTTATCTTCTATCATACCCGAAGACGGTACTCCTGCTCAACAGAATAGAGAATTTTTCTTAACAAAATATAGAGATTTCCTCGTATAGTTGAAGAAATCTTATCTTCTATCAATCTTTTGTTATCATATTGATCACAGAAACTAATATGCTTTTCCTGTGGTATTGTACATTCACATACTTTATCTGTATTACTTTCTCATTTTACAACTCAATTCTTTACCAGCTTTTGTTTCATTTTTTTATTCTTCAGTATGCTAAGTGCAATCGAGCGCTATAGAGCACATTCAAGAGAAGATAGCATCAGCACAAAAATGGAACAAGATATCGAGGTGCAGCATTTGTCCATTTAGTTTCTATTGTTTTATCTGTCGTCAGAGTGGGACCCTATCTTTTTGTGGTATTTTCACATAGAATAATTCTCTGTCACAAAGTTCATTATGCTACTTTATGAAATATGAAATATATTTATGTCAGATTCTATATGCTGAAGGAAGATTTTAATCGTATGTGGTTTAATGAAGATGGTTTTTTACTTGGAGCTAATGACATGAAAGGATTGCACATTTCTTTACGCTGGAAAAAATATTCTACAGATGGCAAAATTTCTTAAAGATTTTAATTAGTGGTTGAATCATTTTAATTGCCATAAAGGTGAGAAAGGATTTTCCGTTTCTTAATATTCTCTAACATGCAAGTAGATCAGTGCATATGCAATGAAGTGTGAACTTAAAGGCTGGTGCATCTATCAGTGGCTAAAAGCTAAGAGTTAGATTGATTGTGTTGAAGGGAGGGGAATATGAGGCAGCATGGATATCAAAGAGGATTGAACTTATTGAAGCCTCTAAACAGTGAGTTCTACTCAATTTCACGATACTGCAACAAGCAGGAATTAAAATCCTAATTACATGAAGAAGCATGCAGGAAACTGTTGGGCAAAAATCTAGGGTCATGTTCGCTCGATGAACTGCATGAATTGGAGGGCAAGCTAGAAGAAAGCTTACACAGTATAAGAGAAAGGAAGGCAAGTCAGAATAGAACTTACTTCATTTCTGTCAAGTTATCGACCAAAAATATACTTACCTCTTGTTGATTCATTCCAGTATCATTTGCTACAAGAGCAGATGGCACAGCTCAAAGAGAAGGTAGATTACTTGAACTCTGTTGTATACTAGTTAGCTTTGCGACATTTTAGCCAATGTTATCAAATCACCATGTTTCAGGAGAGATCCTTAACCAAGGAGAACGAATCACTGCGTGAAAAGGTATAACTAAGTCCATGCATGTTATATACTTTTTCTTTAATGGCATAGTTTGGCAAGTGATTTGATATCTATTAGTATCTGAAGTGCAAGGGACTGGCTAAATCTCCAACTGCTACTTTAGGGGAAGGTGTAGCCCACAATGGAGCTGTTCAACATAGTGATGTAGAGACAAAGCTGTGCATTAGATGTCCAGGAAGAGGAACATACAGTTGATCAGCAACTACAGGCCTGATTCACTTATTCCTTTCTCAGCTGATGTTGTTTTCCTTATTTCGAATTCAGGAAGATTTTAAAGAAATTAATCGACTGAATAACTAAATTCTGCCAGTTTTAATGGAAAGAAATTTAGCCCTTTCTTTGATTCAAAAGCATGCTTAAATTCTGTATCATAAACTGGAAACAACTCAGATAAGGATGTTGAACTTAATTAGCTTTTACCATTCAGCTATATTTTTTGTTACTTTCTAACCTTACACTTATCAAGCTTAACCATCCATATCTAGACTTTAATGATATCAAGAATGAAGTGTAACTCAATGTTGGGTTTCTTACTACACCACCCAGTCCTAATTCAATTCAAATTTATTAGAAGATTAACATTATTATGATTACGATCGGAGAAAATACTTTGGTACTCCTGAGTTTCTTTTCAGAATTTTTTTTTAATTTATATAAGAGGGATACAAGCGAATTTGTACTGAAGTGACGTAACTCAAGAGTCTCGTAATTACTTTTGTATGATAAATATTTTGATTTTCTATGTTAATCTTGTGTCGAATATTTTGATTTTCTACGTAATTAGTTTAATATAAATATCGAATTATCAAAATATGATTAATCTTGTGTCGATTTTTTGATATAATTTTTAATATTAATATGTGAGAGTTCATATGATCTAATTTTGAATTTTGAATCGGTAGACCAAGTATGGAGTGAAAATGGCCCCATCAAATATTTTATAAAATTACTAAGTAATATGGGAGGGGAGGTTGACAATTCAAAGTTCATCCCTCGTTAAATATATTTTCTCATCGTACAAAAAAAGAAAAGATTCCATGGGTAGGGTTGGTCATTTTTGTAAACCTAATCGGACGACCGAGCTGTCATGAGTTTTGTCGGTGCATGTGGAAGTGGTTCAGGTCCCGACTTACGTCATAACTCATGTCGCACCTCGGATACATCCTGTGCAGCAACCGGAGGTAAGTCAAGACGGCCGGCAGTCCACTTCTTTATGTGCGTCATATCCTCCAAATGTGAGGTAGGTATTAGCTTAAGCCGGGATATTCTGATCTTGCAATGGATAAGAAGCGTGGTGGTTAACACAGCTTTGCTTCAGCTGGCCAACATTGAAAAGTTGGGAGGAACTTGAGACGATGTGCGGACTCCGCCAGGCCAATAGTTCCTTCCCCGCCACCAATAGGCCCAAACGTCTCTTGGCATCCGCACAAGTCACAACGAACCAAGTTTCCGTCACTCTAATTTATCTTGACGCCCACCTCCTTATGGGATGCCGAGAGAAGAGCAACTAAGAAAGAGAAACCTAAGTGTCACCCTCGTGATCTCACCCTCTCATCCTCGGCCACCGGTGGCAATAGGCGGAAATTATGGTGGAATGACGCTGCAGCGTCCTCTGCGACGCTGACAGTCGCTTTGGTCCCGAGACTGATGGCGAGGGAGAAGGGAAAGCTGAACAACCTAACAACACCACCTCCTCAGAGGACAAAGATGAAAGGAAGAGGAGCTGCTTCATATATATATATATATATATAAGACGAGCATTTACTAGCAAAGGAGACGGTCTTCTTCTTGCCTGTGGCCCCGTGAACCCAACTCGCGGGAGCGGCTTTTGCTTAGCCGTCGGGGACGAGGAAGACGAGGAGGCACGTGACGCGCGTCCCGTCTCGTGCACCCATTGGTCAGGCGACGACCCTTCCGGACGCCCGACGTGTCGGGCATCTTGCACCCGCTCCCAAGCGCTCTTCGCTTTTGCTGTCTCGCGTCCGGTAAGGGAACAGGGTTTCTGCTTCCCACGGACGATCGGACCCACCTTGGAAGAGTCGTCTGCCCGTTCTCAATTTGGTGTTTCCTGGTTGGACCAAGACAGGCGATCCGGAGGGGAGGTGGCCCCCGAGGCCCAGCCAATGCCATTGGCAAATTCCTCTCGACAGACCGAACTGACAACCTATTTCGACGCTATAGGAAGAATCGAAAGCATCTTGAGATTAATTAGGAAAAGTAAAACTCCAAGAGTTCCTTTCCTTCTTATATTGGAGCTTGCTTTCTTTCTTTATTTGTTGGTCCAGCGTTTAACCGAGGGGCAAGAGTGATGGGGAAAGGGACGGTCGCTCTTTTTCTGGCCTGCCTTCCGTTCCCACAAATACCATTGTTTCATTTTCGGGGTCTCGTCACAAAATAGGGAAAGGGGGTGGTCATGATGTGGTTCCTAGCCGCCTTTCTTTTCCTCTGAGAGAAATAAATACTAGATTTCCTTCTCTTTTCTTTTTTCAGGTAAACGCCGCTGGTCTTACTCTAGTCCTTGCTAATTCCTGTGAGATCCTCTCTTTGGAAGCTCATGTGATCCATGTTTAGTCTGGTCGTCTCGAGATCATCCGAGCTTATTTTTGCTTGATCACCTCAGGGAGGCAGAAGGAGAAGGGTGGGGGGAGGGGAGATCGATCGGTCGTCATGGTGAGGGGGAAGACACAGATGAAGCGGATAGAGAACGCGACGAGCCGGCAGGTGACCTTCTCCAAGCGGAGGAGCGGGCTGCTGAAGAAGGCCCTGGAGCTGTCGGTGCTTTGCGACGTCGAGGTCGCGCTCATCATCTTCTCTTCCCGGGGGAAGCTCCACCAGTTCTCCAGCTCCAGGTTCCATTAACCTCCTCTCCCACCCGCCCTCTCTCTCCCTCCCTCTCTATGCTTCTCTTTGGTATTTGCCTCTGCTGCTCGTCTTCTAGGATTTCTTGGTGATCAATAAGCAAACCCTTTAACCAAAGCCAGCAAAATACATGTTTACTATCAGTAGTCTTCGCGTATAACGGTATTGTGCTTGGCAACATCGAGGCAGCTGCTGCTCTCCACTGTGATCACAAGGTGAAGCTGAGACAGCGATCTAATTAAATGAGCCGAACACATATCGCCTCCCTTTGCGATCATCTTCTAATCTCTTTGTTGGTCATCTTCTAAACCTAGCCAAAATCACGTTTTCTGGAGAATTGTCCATCTGATTTGGCTTCGATGGTGACCCATCCAGATTCACAGATTTTTGTATTCAATTTGCTCTTCATCAGTGGAATGAGTCCCATTCATGGCTTCCCTACAAGAAGGTGTTGGGAAAGTTTTTCTTACTTGACTAACGTACATCCATATGTAGTATTTCCTTCAGACGGAGTGCAATGCTTTGGTTGTCTCAGTGTCTGTCCTTTTTGCCAAAGTGTTATAAATTATCGTACGTACAGATCCAAAATAATGTCACCCAAATTCCTCAAAAAGGATTCACAGAAATCCAATAATCCTAGTGGCATGTGACAATCTAGCTAGCTAGTAGATGTGGATTTCCTACAGAACTATTGGCATATTAATTTATGAGACTATATAACATCGACTTGTTGTTTCTTCTTTCAATTACCTGAGAAATTGAACCACCTGAACAGTATCCTTCCTTCACTATCTTCTTCTTCTTCTCCTGCCATCACCTGCTTCATGTATGTTAGATAGTCGACCCTCCATGCATAAAGTTTTGTGGCAGATGCAGTCCTTAGTGTGAGTTATCTACATATCTTTTATGACATGGTTAAGGCTAGTGATGACAGGAATCATACTCTTCATGAATATAATATAAAGTTTTACATGTTCCAAGTACTTCTTTTCTGCCGTACATCTTCCGAATGATGGTTAGATAGTTACAACGATTGTTTGAACTATGTATAATTGCACAAAGACATCGCAAGTTCTTTTTCCTTGATGATGTTGATAAATTAATATGCATTTACGACAGTAAGAGGAAAAACACTTGTTATTTATGAACTTGAATTAAAATTACCTATGTTTATGTCCACTGAGAAAACCTAATGTAGCTGAACTTGAAATAATAAGAGGTTAGGATTCATCTTCATGGTCGCTATATATTACGTGAATTTGAGAAGCAAATCCATGATTGTAGCTTTGGTAGACATGTAAAGTTACATTTTGAGTCATACATGTAAGTTCGAAACAAGGGAGACAAGAAGTACAATAGGAGAATTGCTTTTCACTCTTCAGTTTTGGTTATATGGAAGACTTTATGTCAGTATATTGGCTGATAAGAGCACACATAGGATTAATGAGTTGTTTTGATCCAAACATCTCCTTTCTACCTTATCCCAGAATTATAAACCATTCTCTGGATTTTAGATTATTTAGAAAAATTATTACTCCTCATCCTCTTAAACATGTTTTTCAGCTCATAAGTTATTTTATTTCGAGTGATGCCATCAATCATTATCTTGACTTCCATTATTATTATCACTATCTTATACTTCAAAAATAATAGGACCAGTATGTCCTCCTTCCTTGTTTGGGGTTAAGACAAATAATGAAAAAAATTAAGATGGGAATTGAGAAATATTAGAGTTTGGAATATATAACAAGCAACTATAAAAGAAACTTTGATTTTATTAAGGATTTAAGGATAAAACCTTAGTCCATCTTAAGCTAGAGGGAGTGAAGGAAAACTTGAGTAATTAGCTTATTTGTCTTGAGTGAAGGAAAGAACAAGATCATGATATGCATGCATGCATGCAATGGGTAAATCTAATGGATTGCCTCATTCACAAATAAAGATAGCAGTGTTCTTTACATGTTTCGTGTCATTAGAGTTAATACGTATATAAAACTGTCAACACCATGATAAAATGAAGTTACGAGGTCCTACTACACATCATTTTAACATGATGAAAGCATAAAACAATGATCTCCAATGGGATGCTAGTGGTTGTATTTCTCATGCTTTTCACTCCTCTATGGATTTTATGGGCTTCGAAAGAATGATTTAAAGGTTGTGACTCTTCAGTGGGAGATCTGATGTGCCTTGTAAAAATGTAGAAGCATTGGCTTGATAAATACCAGTGTTGCTATGGCACTATGATGATTGATTCTTCACAAAATCATGTCTAGTTTATCATACGAGAAACCGAATCAAACAAGTATAGGTAGTAATATAGAGTTAGCTGAATATGGATTTGAGGACTTGCGCTATCACACATACCATAGATGAATGTAAGCCTTAAGCAACTTACAATTCATATTGAACTTGTCAAATGTATACACATGACCACAATAGAAAAGTAAATAGAAAATAATAATTGACATAGGATTTACGACACTTCTAATCAAGTACCAAATCTTTCATACATTTTATCTCATAAGCCTTACTGATGATCTATCTACTAGAGGGAGTTCGTATAAGTACTCAAGGTTTGCTATTCTAGATTTTCCTCGTGTAAAAACCTTGAGTTATAGAGTATTAATTAAACAACAAAACCCTAATATCTATGAGTTTCTTTGCATACTATTTTTTTTTTCATCAAATTAACTTGGTTTTTATTATGAATCCAAAAGTACTTTACTATCGATGATGATTACAAGGAATGCAATAATATTTTTCTATCACATAAGCCTTGATTTATTAAAGAGAAACTAGACAAGTACCCAAGGTATTTTTTTTTTCTACACTTTCCTCTAGTATAAAAACCATGAGTTACATATAATATTTATTGAACAATAAAAACTATAGAGTCTCTAGGCATCTTTGGACACTAAAATCCCTTTTCATTTAAGTAACTTGATTCTCTAAATAATTTGATTCCTGCTATCAATGATACTTATCAACTCTAAAACTTTACTATTTCTAATAGCAAGGAAGGCGGTAAACATATCCTTCAAAAAATATTAGCAATGAATTATGGACCATTAACTAGTTTAGTTAATGAAAACTCTATTAGAACACTATAAAATTTTGCGATCAAATCTTACCTGTGTTGGAAATGGTAGGTTAAGTATATTTGACTATGATCATTTCCAAATGAATGAGAATTTATAGTTTTTGGCTTGAATAGATATGACATTTCGACTGAATAGACATGATCTTTCGTCCATATAGATGTGACTTATCACCCAACCGGACATGACCTTTCCTCCAATAAGGTTCTCCAACATGTATAAAATAAATAAACCCCAGCCCATTTATTCATTCTATCGAAATTTGATTTCATTCTTACATTCATATGACATCAGAAGTTCAATTCTTATAATTTGGAGTATTATTATTGTAAAAAGTAGTCATTTTATCTTGGGAGATGATTGCTGCTAATTGTGAGCAACCCTTACGATTTAATAAGAAAATTCATTTGCTAATTGGGAGAAAATCCTTTCTCCCAATTGGGAGAAAATTCATTTTAATAAGAAAGAGTTCAACTCTGCTAATTGGGAGAAAATTCATTTTAATAAGAAAGAGGCCAACTCTTGTCTTAATCAAATCCTTTCTGATTTAACCTAAGTTTTAGTCTTTTGTATTTCAATCAAAAAATTTTTTTTTAAGAGTAAGTGTTGAAAGAAGAATTCGAACTTAGGACCTTACGATAGATCGTCAAAATTTTTTTAGTCAAATTATTTTTAACAAAAGAAAATAAACTTCTTTCAACGATCTTCACTACTTATCTTTTGAAAGAAAAATTATCGATCGCCAATAGAAAGAATACAATGGACTTTATGATTTCCTTTAACAAGTATAACATGTATCATATATGCTACTTTATTGTTTTTATGACCACATAACTTTTAGATTTTATTATTTAATTACTCTAATTACCATACATAGAGATCGGATACCATGATCATTTTAATGATTAGGCTTATTATCTCTTTTAATCTGGCACGAATATGATTCTAATATCTATTTCTAGCTTTATAGAATTTTTTCTATTTTTATGATTTTGACTTATTTTATAAATATGTAAATTTATGCAAAAATAAAACATCACAGTAAATAATATAAATCTCAGGATCCTTACACTTTGAGATTTTCATAGAAATAAACTTTAATTGAAAAACAAAGTTGGATCCATCGATTGATACCTTATGGAATCCTTTGAAAATTTTGAATTTTCTAATAAACAACTTAGATAGATAGAATTCTGATTTCTCTCTTACCCCTTTTCTTTGACATTTGTTGTGGATGAAAAATATTATATTCTGATCTATGGGTGAAGAGATGATCAGGTTTTGAATTTATAGTGACAAAAAGATACATTCCATTAAAATATCAATTCAGAATTAATATCTAAATATTATGTCAATTATGAAGACAATTGAAATTAGGTTTGTCTTCCTCAATAACTAATAGGATTTAAGTTATTTGTTAAATCACCATTAATATTACAGGAATTACAGGCCACATTAATTCCAACATTCTCCCATTTGACTTTGATTCAATAAATCATAATGCGCAAATTGTCATGACAAATCCTTTTCACATAATGGTTAAAATCATTCATCATTATTAAGTAAATTACTAATGTGACTCATGATAGTAATATATCATTAATTCAATATATTTCTTTTCATGTATCACAACATTATATTTCTACTTGACATATCCATAATAATATTTTCATAATGGTCTAATGATAATGTCTTTCTGAGAGGCCAATCCTATCAATTTTTATATACTTTCATCATGTATACACTATAGAAAACATAATAAATAACAAACATATACGTGAGTTCAAGTGTCATATAATAATTCATGAATATAACATAATATCAATAATGATGTCCAGTAAACACTAATGCTTAATTTTTCTACAGGAGTGATAATCCTTTAGTTAATG